TGACTGTGGCCTCAAGTGCTCCACTGGAAATGCAGAAAGTGAGTCTAAATGCATGCTTACATTACATAATCTGACTGCCGAGAGGCCTTTTGTGCAGTCGCATCAGATCCTCAGATATTGTTTAAGATGGGATTCTCAGGCGACTTACTACAAAAAAAAAAAAAAAAAAATTGACTTGTTATTATTTGGACACTAAAACTTCATAAGACACAGTATTTCCCATTCCCAAGTTTTAAGAAAACCTATTTAGTTATGATGTGATGAAGCAAAAGATTAAGCACATGTAATTTACACTAGGTAGATATTTTAATTGCTAATACATAGTATATTTTAATTGCTAGTACATTTAGCATGTAAAAATCGCATAAAAGGTGATTTGTCTAATTTTATAGAAAAATGTAAAAATGAATAAGAAATGGCTTTAATGATACCTTTCCCATTTGAAAGTTGCATCTTTTATAAATTTCCAAACTTACATAAAAATTTCTGAAACACAATGGCAGCAGGAAAAAACTATGTTGAGAAAGTTGAATGTTGATATTTCTTTAAATCTTTCAATCAAAATCATAACAAATCTCATCCAAAAAATACATTAACACTTTCACATATGAATGGTGTATGAATTACATTTAATTTTAATTAATGTGTTATGTATCTAATAAATTACATTTCTAATTCAACTGCTCATTTCTATAAAGCATTCTTTGCCTCAGAATTAATTATCACACATTATAATTGTTCACTGATCAAAAACATTCGTGCTTTTGGAGATTTAACAAGGAAGTCACTCAATAATTAAGATCACAGAAAGATCTGGTTCCAAAAAAGAGATACATAGGATGTATAGTTCAAGGTCTATTAATATATAAAGAATATTTGGTCCAAATATTTCAAGTTAGTTCTTTAGCTTCTAGTCTTTTGTTTTAGTAGTCTACAACTAAGTTTTCTAGTAGCCAACAGAAAAATCTAACACTTTGAGATATATTATTTCACCACTGTAAAGAATTCTCAAAGAAGGCTGGGGAGATAGCTCGGCAGTCTAAGCACATGTCTGGCAAGCACAAGGACCTAGGTTCAATCCCCAGTACCACATGTCACACTGGCCCCAGAACCCTGGTCATGCCATGCTAGCCACCAAATCTGGGCAAAGTGGCCCATGCCTATAATCCCAGCACTGGTGAGGCTGAGACAGGAGGATCACTATGAGTCCAAGCTGCGTAGAGACGCTATGCAAAATACATAAATAAAAGATTAAAACAAAAGAATTCTCAAATATATAAATCAGTCTGTGTGCATGTATTCAAGCAAATATGTATGAGTCTATCTTAATGAACAATTCATTATTAATATACAGGAATAAGAATAAACGGAACTGATAAATATATGATATACAACCTCTGTGGATTTTCCAGTTTTCTCCAAGTGTCAGGAAAATGCTCAGCCAGATCCATTACCTCCTCTGAGATTGCAGTCAACTGTTGCTTCATTTTACTAGGTAGGATTTCCTTCACTGGGTGGGGGAGGGGGGAACAGGAATGAGTATTAATTTTTAAGCTACAAAGCAGAGATACTTTAGCCACTTTATTACATAGTATTAGTTCAGATTTTCATTTTCTTTTTTGTTTTTACTGCTTTTATTTTTTTAATATTTTTATTGAGAAACAAATAGCAATGAGACAGTTTCACAACCGATTACTAGTACATTTTCAATAATTAATACATACATTGCATATTGTTGTCTTAGTGGTTATTCATTGTACAAGATGCAGACCTGATATCCTGTCTCAAGCACTATTAGAACAAACCTCTCTCTTCATTGAATTAAGAAAATGGAGCTGTATATCTATCCTATTTTGAGTATACAGATACAAAATGGTCATTCATTTGTATCCCCCTTTTTTGGTTAGTTTTGTCAGAAAAGGGAATTCCATTGTCATTTAAATACTGTACGTGCATGAATTCAGCAAAATATCCCAATGTAGTCCAATAGTCCATAATAGTAGAGGGTTCTCCATAAGACTGTCAATGTCTGAAGTTGTTGACTTGAGCATTTTACAGCCCATCATATTAATATGGCTTTACTTTTTATACTTCATTTTCATACTTTTCTGCTGGATGGTTAAGATCAAGAAAGAGCAAGACCTATATAATAAGAAATGTCTCTTTTGTATCTGATAAGCTCAGTCAAATCCCTTCAGGATTTAACCTGAAACCCTGTACCTCAGTTTGTAGATCCTTTGTCAGTGTCAGCCATATGGATGAGTTATGGCCATTGTATTTTTATACAATGGAGTACTACTCAGCTATAAAGAATGATAAACTCGAAGCCTTTATATATAAGTGGGTGCCACTTGAAGCTATACTCATAAGTGAAATAAACTAGACCCACATGTGTAAATATCGTAGTCTCCCTAGTATAAGAACTCAAAGGAAGAAATAAAAATAGAAAGAAATAATACAATTAAAAGGAAAGCGAGATTTGAGGATTAGTTAACGAAGACAGGGCAAGAAGAAAAGCTAGAAAATATGACAGGGCAAAGTCATACATTTATATGCACAAGATGGGAAAGGCAATGGTCCTGAGAATCTTCAGCATGTTTTTGAAAATAGCAGTTAATTGGTAGGTCTCTCACCCTGACTATGTATGCTGATACCTGTGAACTAAGCAACTGTGCTGAAGAAAGCAATGTGTAACGGTAGGGCTATGCTTAGAACACCTGTCATTCTGGTCTTCTAACTGTGTATTGCTTGTCATGGCATACCAATTACGGCCATAATGTCTCTTAAGTAAAGGTTTGTTTCTTTGGTTTTTTGTATTTTTGTTTTTTTAAAAAAAGGTAATAAATGAAAACATGAGACAAAAAATGTCACAGGACTGTCCTGCTAAAAGGCTGTATATGGTTAGATTTCTAAATTTCTGTGTAAAAATATGTAAATGCTTAATTCTTTTTTTTTTTTTTTAATCTTTTTATTTTTTGTTTTGTTTGGGGGTTTTTTTGGTGGACCCGGGGATTGAACTCAGGCCCTTGCACTTGCCAGGGAAGTGCTTATTCCACTGAGCCATCTTCCCAGCCCCTTAATCTTTTTTCTTCATATTCTGGAGGGACTCAAAGTTTAACATATTAATATGTGAAGGAAAATACCTGTTCCATGTTATGTCTAAGATGTTTGATATTCAGATAGATAGCAAGGTTCAGCTCAACTGTCTATGTTATAGGGTAATAATATCATTAAGCTTCTCTTCTGGAGGGTTAACAACTTAAGTTTGCAGACCAAAAATTAAAGAAAAAGAAGGGCTGCAAGAACAGCCCATATTTTGGCCCTAGCCTTTCAAGGTCAGTAAGGATTCAGGAAATAGGAGAACCTCTACTGTAATATCCTGTAATTCAATTGTGTCCCAAATTTTCTGATCAAGGAGATTATGGGGGCACAGAGGAAAGTGATCAATGATGTACAGTGTGCCTAAGGAGAGTCACATGAAGAGAAAACATTCTCTCAAGCTTTCACAGATTTTCATTTTCATTCCTTTCATTCCTTAACTGAATTCCAACCAAAAAAGGCTTATTTAATCCCCAAATGACCTCTGTCACTTCCCTTCCTTTCAAATTTCTGCTCTTCAAATAATCTGCATTTATATATACTGTAACCTATTGGTTACTGACTGAGCCACAAGAAGGCAGAAATGAATATCTGTACTATTCTGCATTATATCTCTATCAGAAATGAATATAACCATGTAGGCTGCTACCTGATACACTTCAGTAAACATAACCTTACCCAAGAGTCACTCTCCATTATTCTCATCACTAAAACCAAACCCAAGGCTTTGTAATCAGTGATCATCTTCCCAATACACAAATTTATTCCATCTAATGCACCATTCTCCATTCACAGTACAAAATCTATCTTCCATCCGAAAACTCATCCCTTTCTCAGAATTTCTTCTCCCAGCTGTATTTTTTTTTTGTTTTTTTTTTTGTTGTTGTTGTTTGTTTGTTTAGTTGGTATCTTCACAAAGTTCGGCTCCTCTGAATCTAAGGCTAGGGGTCCTTTGAATTCTGGACTATGTAGCCTGCTATTCCTGATTCCCACAGTTATCCTGTGATCTCAAAACATGTCTTTTATTTCTTGAAGATTTTAGCTCATGCCCCATTCTCTTTCCTTCCACAACTATTACAATTATGATGACTAGTGATTTTAACATCCACAGAGGTACTTCTCAAAAGCATGCCCTTTTCTGTTCCATGACCCCCTTCATTTCCAAAAACCTTTTCCTTAATTGGTATTAGCCACTCATTCCCACAATTATACCCCTGACCTGGTAATTACCTAATAAAAATCCCCGCTCCAATATTTCAGTTGTAAATATCCCATACCCCCGAACACCAGCATGCCTTTCTTTCCAGCATGTTTTTCCCAATATAACAATTCTGACATTTTTAGAAACAAATTTATTGACCATACCAGCTTTTCCTTGCCCATTAATCTCCCTGTTCCCTCTACCCACCATTCCTTACTTTTCCTTTCTTGCTTACAATATGGTAACTATGACTGTAATATACAGATTCTCAATTCCCTGGGTGGTCCTCACTCTCCAAGGAACTTATTACTTAAAATCTCTAACTCAACCCACGTTTCTATTTATGATTCCTACATCCAAGCAGTTAACTATTCAGTTAAAAATAATAACAATGATGACTTGAGTTTAAATTCATGACACATCTCAAGTGAACTCTATTATTTAGGCCTCAATTCTCACTTTTAAGATGACTATTTCACACCTATTCTTTTCTTGTTGAGCTTCAAATATCGGCTCTTCCTTTTACTCAGGCAAGTCTCACTTCTAATTCCATGAAGATAACAGAAACAAGAACAAGAGAAGTACCTCATCTTCTTACTCTCCGATCTCTATTCTGTATTCATATCTCCAGTCCATTTACAGCAAAATCCCCAGAAATTGTTGTTTACAAACACTATCAAATTTTATGCTATTTTCTCCCAAATGAAATCAACTAAATTTTCACAAGAATAATACAGCAAAGCTACCTTTGGGATGGGCTCTAGTGTATCAAACCTATTAATAATAGATCCTCATCTTACTCATATTCTCAGAAAGCTTTAAAACTGTTAATAAACCCCTCCTCCAACACCCACACAATGAAAGCATTTTCTCACCTGGTTTTTGAACACCACTGCCCCTGTACTGTGTTTCATTACTTCATTCCTGCCCTTCTCAGTGCTCTTTGCTATTGTATCATCTTTCTGATCTCTAACTGTTGGGGTACCTTTGACAACAATGGTCAATACCTCTTCAGTGCTTGATTTCATTCACTTCTTTTTTTTTTTAGAAATGGGGATTGAACACAGGGCCTCATGCATTCTAGGCAAGCACTAGAGCACTGAGTTATATCCCCAGCCCTCACAGACTCCCTATTTTACATTTTTTTGTTTCACTACTATCTGGATGCTTATAAGTTCCAATCATCTCCAACTTCAACCAGTCCCCTCAACTACAGAATCACATTTCCAACTAACACATACCTTTTGGATAACAAAAATCATTTAAACTATGTTATGCCCACAGGGTCTCAATTATTCTCACCCAATCTATTCTTCCTATAGAAATAATACTCCTAGGGAGATAGCTTAGCAGCATAAGCATCTTCCTGGCAAACACAAGGTCCCAAGTTCAATCCACAGTACCACAAGCCCTAGAACTAGGTGTGGTGGCACATGCCTATAATCCCTGCACTGGGAAGGCTGAAATAGAAGGATCATTTTGAATCCAAACTGTGTAGCAAGACCCTGTATTAAGAAAAAGAAAAGAAAAATAATGAAACCTTTGTATAATAACAAAACCTTTCATATACCCACTTGATTCAAGCAAAGTACCTTGATTGTTCTTTCAGTCTCTATCTTCACAGAGAATTCATCTACAAACCCTTGAACATACCTAAAGAATCTACCATTTATAACCAACCACCTCTGTACCATTATCCTAATACAGACAATTGCCATCTTTTGCCTGGACTATCAAAATAGCCTTACAACTACCTTCCAAACACTTGTACTCATAAGCAACCAGTAAAACACTTTCAAGATAAAATTTTAATCACGTTCTTCTGTTCCTCACCCTCTAATGTTTTCTTTCATCAACCATTATCATAGCAATTCGCTTGAATAAAACATAGTCAGAATCAAAGCATACAATGCCCTAAATGATCTAGCACAACCCAATTTTTTAGTCTTGTTTCCTGCCACTCTTAGACCTGTTCATTTCTCTTCTGCTACACTCATCCCTTAAATAAGGCAACCAATCACCTTTAGAGGTTTTGTGCTTTCCTCTAAGTCTCTTCCTTCAGATATCTACATGGCTTGCTCCCTTATTACTCAAATGAAATGAAGGGGCTTGGGGCTGTTTTGTTCAGTGAGTTTTCTCTAGTACCTGGAATAGTGCCTAATATATAATAAGCACTCAACAAATATGTGTTATTTGAATCAATAAAATAA